GGAGGAGAGGGGGGGGGGGTCTTTGAGCAGCAAGATAAAAATCAAACCCAATCAGGCTTTTCGCCCGTTTGCCGTTGTTGTGCACACGCGCGTGCGAAATGTTTATGGATATTCGGAAATAAAGAAGTCCGTCGTCGTTGGAGAATGAAGGGATGGTGATTTAAGCACGTCGAGAGGACGCCCGTGTGTAAAGGTTGATTCTGTTACGTGTAACCGATTAAGCAAGCCGGGAGTGAGCGAGAGAAAAAAAAAGTTGGGCAACTGTGAAGATTTGCCCTCCATATCAAGTGTTCCCGCTTCTCACGCCAAGCGATGCCGCAGTATCTTTGTCGTGTTTTTGTTGACGTCAAATTAAAATCGAGCAATTGTTTTTTGTGTGTTGCACTGTAGAGTGCGCGACACGTGCAATTCATAAAAATGTAGGTCAAAAGTGGGCGGAACAAATTGACCGTCAGCTGTCTCGTCCCGTCGGCGAGGAGCCCGGGCACACTTTTGCCGCCGTCGCCGCGAGATGACACCGCTGTCCTACTTTTCCCATATTTCAGCGATGATTTGCATACTGTCTAACGCGTCATTACGGCGGCCGCCCCCCAGCGCCCGGCATAGCCCGGCACAGCCCAGCAGAGCGGCTGCTGTTTCTACACAAAGTTTTCCCCCTCGGCGCGCCCGCCGGCCACGGTGGGGCAACCCATAACCTAGCCCATCCGACACTCAAAATCGTCAAGAGTCCAGACGAATCACGCGCGCCTGCGCGACGGCCGCTGCCGCTGCCGCCGCCACTGCTGCTCCTGGCGGTGCTCCTGGTGCTGCTGCTTCTGCTGCGGCTCCCCGCTGCTGCTGCTGCCCCTGCTGCTGCTACTGCTGCTGCCCCTGCTGCTGCTGCCGCTACTGCTGTGCCCCTGCTGCTGCTGTTGCTGCTGGTGCCGTTGTTCCTCGCCGTGACGGCGTCAAAACACATATGCAAATGCCCGTGGAGTGTGAAGCTGTCGGGCCCGGGCCGGGCGCCCCCGGCGCGGCCGGCCCTGGTGGCCCTGGCGGCTCCTGACAGCGCCCCGCGCTTCTCTCCCCGCGGTGGTGGATGGGGTCATATTATATTTCGGGTACCGGAGGGGACGAAAAGGAGGGGGAAAAAAAATAAAAACTCGACTTGTGTGTTTCTCAACGCTAGTTAGGGGATCGTGAAACAGGTCACACTGAGCGAGATAAGGGGACGTCGTCCCCGGCCGCGCGGTGTTGGCGATGCACGGGCTCCTCTCCGGCGGTGGCCCACAGCCGTATTGCACGCGTATGCAAACGACCATCAGAATGCCGTCGGCGTGCTCCGACACCTTCTGTCGACCGCCCGCGAGTTGCGCGCGATTGGCCATTGGCGGAAATGAAGAACGTTGGATATGCCGAGCCTTACGACACGCTCAGGACGTATTGGTTTATTTCCAGGGGCCGGGCGCCGCCGCTCGGAAGGACCAGCAGTACGGTGGGGAGGGGCGGGGCGGGGCCCCGACTGCATCCTGGGCTGGCGCGGGACAGATCACGCATGACTAATACGCCAAGCGCAGCATCTGACTCCCGAATTGAATAATCTGACAGGGACAGAGTGGCGGAGGGAGGGGTTCAGTGGAAGGGGGAGATGGGGGGGGGGGGGCGGTGTCTTTGGATTCCCGTCCCTGGTCAACGATGATGTGACGTTGCCCAGCCAAGGGTCGCGTCGAACCCCCCTCGATGCGTGGGAAAGATCAGCTCGCGTTTCCGAACGCGTTGGAGCCGGCGGGCGCTTGCTGCTCGCGTGGGCGGCCAGGGGTCCCAGGCGTCTCCTGGGAACGCCTTGCCCGCCCCGCCCCGCCCCCGCACGCCTCGACACTCGCTCCGTGCAAGGTGCAGCGGCAGCGGCAGCTGCGGCCGACAGCCTGAGCACGCCCGCGCCGCGCCCCGCCGCGCCCCGCGCCCCGCAGCGCCCCGCGCCCCGCGCCCCGCCGCGCCCCGCGCCACGCCCTGAACTGTCTGATCCAGTTAACGGTGCCCGGTGCCGCTGGCTCGCATGTGGCTGCGGGACGCAGAAGCTGATCACGCATCATCCGCCATAGCCCCGAACCCAAACAAAAAAAAATATCAACGAGAATACTAGTTCGGAAAACCACGCTCGATCCACAGCCTCCGCATTTAATATTGTTGCGCGATTGCTAGGACATTATGCACCCTCCAGGAGCTCCCCAGCAACGCGTGGTCCCTTCCAGATCACCATTACGTCCGTCACATGCCTGCCAAGGTATTCAAGCTCTGATGGCGCCTGCTAGGTAGGCAACATCCTGCCTCGAGCGCATGCGTGTACTGCGGCGTGGCCTACCGTGAGACCCGCAGGCGCTGAGCTCCCCGTCATTTGCCGATTGAACTAACTGAACCTGGACGATCCCTTGCCTTGCAGTGCAGTCGGTCCTGGCGTCAATATGCGCTGACCCAGCTGGCGCCCGATCCCGACGCGCCCTCTTCCGTTTCCGGTCCGGCGTCTCCGAAGGGTTTCCATACTCTCTGCGATAATTATTATTCAGTTATACAGTGTCTGACGTAAAGCGGGGCGCTGCGGGCGGCTGCTGCACTGGGAGGAGGCCAACCTCCTACTCGGCTTGGCTCCGTCTCCATAGCTGCCCCCGTCCACTCCCCGCCCCAAGCCCCTGTCCCTACTCCAGCCATGTGAAAGGACCCCATATGTAAGCAGTTCATTCGGAATCTGGAGCACGGCTCTCGGCCGCGGTGACCCTCCTCGTGCTCGGGATGGGCGCAGTCGGGTGACCCTCCGCGCCGAACTCACTGTTGTATGCGGTAAAGGGGACGATTTGCCGGGGGGTCCTTAAAGATAAATTCAAGCAAGCCTACACCGACGTTTTTTGCAATTTTTCCTTTTGTTCCTATTTTCTTTCTCTGTTGAGTGGAGGGTGCGCTGGAGTTTACGCTGTCATTTTTTTGTGAGTGAAGTAGCCCTTTGCTCTTTGCTTTGAGCTTCGCTTGAAAGTCACGGAGGCGTGGGTGGCGCGGTGCCGCCGGGCGGGTAGGCCGCCCCTCGGACGCCCCGGGGCCTGGCGGCCAGCCAGGCGGCGCTGCGGCGGCGGCGGGCAGCCGGCTGCTACATTTCATCTTGCCGCCGCAGCAGCAGCATCCTAGATGGACCAGCAGCGCCGCACGTACGCGACGCGCCGGTCCGCCTTTACGCAACGCCGCCGGGACGCCGCTCAGACATTGAAATCAGGAGAGTGCAGCGGCGCGGCGGCGGCGGCGTTGTTGGGCGCGAGGAGGAAGCGAAAGGGAACAGCTCAACACATACGGTCCAGCAGGGCTTGACCGCACGGGGCCCGGGCCTGGCCGAGTTAGGCGCGGCTTGTTCGGACAATCACTCCTCTCTCTCTCTCTCTCTCTCTCTCTCTCTCTCTCTC